TCTAGCATTAGGATTATTTAAAAATTGAGGTGGAATATTTTGTTGATGATGTTGAGGTGGTGCTGATCCATTATTTGACATTCCAGGTGGTGGAGGACCTTGTTGAAAACCAGGAGGTGGTGGACCAAATTGATTATGTAAATGAGGAGGTAATGGCATTGGTGGCATGAATCCATTGGGGAACATACCTTGAGGTGGAATTGGCATATTACCACGTGAGTTTGAAGGGTATGGGAATGGTTGTTGTTGTTGTTGATGTGGGGATTGTTGAGGACCATTTTGATTTTGATTTTTTGGTTGTTGTTGTTGTTGTTGACTTTGGCTGGCTTCTTTTTGTTGGTGTAATTGAGGTGATTGTGGTTGCTGTTGTTGCATTGGAGGAGCATGATGAAAACCCGGTGGTGGAGGTGGAAAGTTTTTCATTTGTTGCTGTTGCTGTTGTTGCTGTTGTTGAAGGTGAGGTGGTAAGTTTGAGCCACGCATCCATGGAGGTAATTGATTTATTGGAATACCAGGTGGTAAATTTTGAGGCATTGGTAAATTATGAGGATGATTTTGTGGGGAATGTTGAGGTGGTATTTGATGCTGTTGTTGCATATTTACAATTGGTGATTTTTTAAATTTTGAATCATCTTGTTGTTGATTTGTATCCTTAGTGTTAAGATTTGGTGATTGTTGTTGTTGTTGCTGTTGTTGCTGCTGTTTTTGTTGAAATAATGCTTGAATATTTGGTTTTTCTTCATTAATAGGGGTTGAAATGTTTGATGTAGATGAACCTTGAACACTTTCTTTTCTTTTCAATAAAGACAAAAAGAAGTTATCATTTGATGAAGAATTTTGTTGTTGTAGTTGTTGTTGAGGTGGTATTTGTGGGATTTGAGAAGTACTATTTGACGGTTGCTGTGGTTGTTGATGATGTTGTGTAGGTACTACTGGTTGAGAAGTTGATAACGAGGATCTTTTTTGTTGTGGTTGTTGAGATTCTTGTATAGCTAATGATGAATCTGAATTTAATTGTGGTGATTGATTTACTGATCCACCAAAAAATTTAGAAAACCCAGGTGGAGGACCAGATGTCTTTGGAGTATTTGATTCTGATGCGGTGGTGTTAGCTTTCTTATCAAGTGTGTCATCTTTCTTAACTTGTGGACTTGGTTGTTGGAAGAAAGATGAAAATCTAGAAGATCTACTATTGGATTGTTGTTGTTGTTGTTGTGATTGATGTGCAGGCTCTTCTAATGCAATTGAGTCATTGGCTTCTTCTTTCAAAGTAGGTTTAACGAATGAAAAAAAATTATCAACTTCATTACCAACATTTAAAGAAGCAACAACTTCTTTTTGTTTTTGATTTTCTAATGCTTCATCAATAATTTCTCCATTTTTCTTACGTTCTTCTAATTTCATTTGATATTTCCATTTTTCAAAATCTTCAACTGTTTGTCCCATATTTGCCATTGACATTTTTGCTGAATCATCCAAGTATTTGTTATTGTTATAATTTCTACCATTTCTTTGTCCTGAAGATTCAATATCGTCGTCCCATTCTGGTTCTAATTCATCTGATCCTTCTCCTAATAATTGAGATATTTTTTCATTAGTTAAAGATTCTAATTCTTGAGATTTACCAAAACCATGACGTCCTTGATGATGATTGTTAGTGCCATGTCTTTGAGATTTATCTGATTTATTTCTTTCCCAAGTTTCATGTTGATGTCTTCTAAATTTTTTACTCTTGTTATTAAAATGTTCATTATTTCCATTACTATTATTTACATGATTATTATTAAAAGATTTTGAATTAGGGTTATTTGTTTCTCTTACTGGTTTTAGTCTCCAAAATGCTAAATTTGGTAACTTATCATCATCACCAAACTCGATAGTATCTATTTCATCTCTTAATTTTAATAGATGATTTATAGTGTATATATTTGGTAATCCATATTTTTTTGGTGGTATAGTTGATAAAATTTGATTCAATTCTTCTTTTTCTTTGGTGAATTTTGTAGATTCATCATCTTCTATTAACTCTGTATTTTCTTCAGTTACAACATTTGAATTATCTTCTATATTTGATTCTGGAGTATTTTCTTTTGCTGCATGAGCCATTGCACTATCTAACAATTTACTTAATGCATTACTTGGATCTAAATTATTTATTGAAGAATGTGATTGGGTTCTTTTATTGTTCGAGGGTCTCTTGTTACTTTGGTATTGTGTAGAATCTATTGATACAATTGATGGATCCACTAGTAATGGATTCGTGTTGGTTGATGACATTTGCACAATATGAAGTGGAAAGATTCAATAAGTATATAGCTGGGTCTATTGAATCGGCGTTCTGAATATAAATGAATAAAATGATATTAAATGTAATCAAGTTATAGTATATGACTAATTGAACCTTTTATATTTAAATATAATAAGGATAACTGATGTAAAATGTATAATTTATTTTATAATATAATTATTACCCTTGAAGATTAATTTTTCTCATAATACTTTATAAAAAAAAAAGGGAAAGAAATGAAAAAAAAAAAAAAAATTAAATTAAATAATTTTGGTGACAAATACACTACCATCTTAAAACACTTTAAACTTATAATAAATACACAACTATTGCAAGATTATGCAAATGAAGGTTAAATTTAAACTTATATGTAAAATAATTAATAAAACAATTCATTTAAAAAGAAATAAAGTATATATAATATAAATAAATAATCTATAACTAAAACATAACGTAACTTTGAAAATGAACCAAACCAGCATCAAAATTTAATTGTTCAAATAAGGAATATTCAACCTCATTATTTCTCGACACATAATAAACCAATCAATCTCACGAAGATATATAGTTCCATCATTATAATTAACTACTCTATGTTCATTATCTTCTTCATCTTCATTACCTTTTAAAAATTGATTCTTAGTTTCTAATTTAATCAGTTCCTCCCATTTAAATAATTCATACATGAATCTAAGATTTGGTTGTATAATAATATTTAATCTTCTAACTCTAACGTAAAGATAAGCCATTGATAAATTAATTTGTAATCTTCTCATTATTTCTGCTATAACAACTGTTGCACTTCTTGATACTCCAACTCTACAATGAACTAATATTTTGGTTTGTCCTTTAGTTTTAGTGTATTCTTTTTCAATAAATTCGAGAATTGAAGGAAGTTGTTGTGACAATTCATCTATTCCATCATCTTCTAAATTGTTTACTTTCATTATCGTTTCAATAGTGGTATTCCAATGTAATTTTGATTTTTTAAATTTGGGTGATTTGGGGACTATATTAAAAAATTCAATATTTTGATTTTCAATTTCATCAACTAAAATATTATTATATTTTTGAAATTTATACCCATTAATCCATGGTAAATTTTCTCCAACTGATATGATTTTTTTAATACCTAGTTTATTTAATAATGGTAAACAAGATGCATGCTTCAAAGAACCAAGGTATAAATAAGGTAATATCTTGGATGGTATAGATCCCTCTACTTCTTTTACCCAATCAACTTGAAATTTTTTCAATTCTGTCTCTTCTGTTTCAATATCTGATAAATTATCATCTGAATCTGAAGATGAACTAGTTTCTAAATCACTTGGTTGATTTGATTCTTCTTCATCTTCATACTCTTCTTCATCGGAACTATTCACAATATATCCTAATCTTGTATTATTTTGAACTTTAGGCTTACCTAACAAGATTTCATTAATCTCCATTGCAGTTAATTCCTTCAATTTTGACCACTCTATTTTTGAGCCTAATTTTAAAGGACTAAATTTCCTAAGTAATGGTTCTAATTTTTGTAAAATTATAACATCACTATTGAAAATATAAAAAGGTCTACCATATTTTAAATGTAGTTGTAATATAGCTTCATCTAACGAAATATTCAATGAATAAATCATAAAACAAAATACAAATAATGAAGATTCTGTATACCCATCAGAACAATAAATTAATGAACCTAACCCATTGGAGGAGTTTGATGATGAATATAAATATATTAATTTACATGTGTTTATAATCAGATTTAAATTTTCTCTTTTGCAATCTCCAATACCTATTGAACCTGAAGGTGGGAAACTTAAATAATGTCTTTCTTGTACTGTTGAATTTTCATGACTTGTAATTGTGTATTGAAATAATAGTTTTGATAATTCATTTAAATCTGGAAATGTAGCATCTGAATGGCAATGTAAAAATAATTTGTAGTTGGTTTTAGGGTGTGGTAATAAATTTATGAAATCTCTTGATTTCAAATTCTTATGTAGGATCAACGAATTTTTTGGATTATTATACAAATCTTTATGAGACTCTTGAGTAGTTTTAGACAAATTTTTATCAGTATTTAAATAATGGTTCATTATTTGATAATCCCAAAAATTACCTATCCAAACATTTTGATTGATTCTTGTAGCAGTTGACATTTTTGTAGTTTCAATTTTTTCATTTATTTGAAAATCATTTTCCCAGACCAAGAAGGGATCATGTATTTTATAATCTAATTTTTGACGATTTATTTTGGAGAAATTGAAATAGTTTTTAAGTGGTGTTTCTAGTGATTCGTCTTCTTTTTCTAATTCTAATTTTTCATAAATTTTTGAATTCTCCAATACTTCATCATCTAAGATGTATATGATTTTTTCTTGATATTCATTAGTATTTAACTGTTGATCATATTTTTGAGCTAACCATAATACTCTAGCCATTGAATTCATTTTTTCTTTATTTGATCCATAAATTATAAAATCAGAACTAGTAGACAATTTTGCAACTTGAATATGAAAATTTCTCAAAGATATACCTCTATCGGGATCTAAATTTAAAAAAATGGGTAACACATTTAAATTAATACAATCATTAACTAATAGATCTAAAAATTTATGATCTATTATTTCATCATCCCATATTGATTCTATTATATTTTTGATTTCCAGTTTTGAAACATCTATTTTTTGTAAAATCTCATTTAATTTTACACTATTATGTAATTGTACAGGTATTGAATCATCATTTACACACATTAAAAACTTTGATGATCTTGGCTTTGTTAGATCAAAATCAATGAAAAAATTATTATTGTTGATACCCAATTTTTGTTGTAGTTGTTGTTGTTGTTGTAAGAAAAATGATTTTTGAGCGAAATTATCATTGTGTAATCCATGTAGCCAGGGAAATACATCTTGAGTTTTAGGTAATGTTGAGTTGAAATATTTGCTGAATATTTTCTTCAATTGTGGTATTGTAATATGTCTGAATTCAAATATATCACCTTCGGCTTCTTCTTCTTCTTCTTCGGTTGTGGGTACTTCTTGGACTGAGTTTGTATGTTGATGTTGTTGATTCATATTTAATTTTGCTGTTTTGAAACCTATACCATCACAAACGTCACATAATGTTTCATCGGACTTTTTTCCGCTTGTAGTATTTGGTTTATCACAATGAATACAATCATTAAAACTTTTTAGTCTAGCTCTAAACCTATCTCTTTCATATAATAAATCATTTGATGATGACGATGATCTTTTACATGATTTTAGCCTTGTTAAGGAGCATGATGATGATGATGTGGATGAGGAAGTTGGTGGTGTATTTGAAGTATCCTCTGTAGTAGCTGTAATTGAAATCTGTGGGTTGATGGTTGTATTATCGGTGACATCTTCTTCTATAATTGTATCTTTTACATTTAAAAATTTGCTCGATTGAGATGTTGTATCTTGAAGATTAGCTGTTGTGTTGGCTAGATGAGGCTCTGTTGCCTCAATTTTTGACTCATTGTGTGTTCTATCTAAATCTTTAATTTGTAAATTTTTGTCTATTTTCTCCTGTGTGAGAAGTACATCATCAATCAGTGAAGAGATTGAAATATCTTTATCTTCTTGTGAATGTGAACTTGATAGTTTATGTGGTTGCAGACGTAATTGTTGAGGATGTAGATAATGAGGATGTTGTTGTGATTGAGCTTGCGATTGTGGGTGTTGATGTTGTTGATGATGTTGATGATGATGTTGTTGTTGTTGGTAATGTAAAGTGGATATAGTTTGTGGACTTAGTGTTCTATGTTGCTTATTATTTGGATTATTAAATTGATGATCATGAGAACTCATTATTGATGATGGTAATATAAATGTTGAATTATTAAAAGGTGGAGATGGAGATCTTGTTTGTGGAGATGACATAATCTATTTGTTTTCTATTTTATTTTAATGCTTCTATTTTGTTTCAGTATACTTTATTAATAAGTTGAATTATAAGTAATTGATTATCCAATCGTGTTTTCAAATTGGCATAAAGTTAGTTAAAGTTTTAATATATATTTGTAATATGGATATTATTTTGTTTATCTATAATCATATGAATTGTAAATAATGATATAGATCTAAGATTTTAATCTAAATTTTATATTCTATTCTATTATATTCTTGAGTTCTTGGTAATTGTAATTTTTATTTTGTGTAGTGAAATAAAATTTTTTAATTGTAAATCTTTTGAAAAATGTGGAGGGGTGAGATTGTTTTGATTAAAAAAGAATAGTAAATATATAATTAGTGTTGAAATCTAATCTAGTTATAAATCAATTGATATCTAGTTGAATAATAGCAAAGTATAAATAGACCACTTATTTGTTAATTGAATTGGTAAAATCTGAAGATAAATATAATATAAACAAAATATAGAAATTGGTTGTAAATAAAATATTAAATGATAAGATACAGTTAAAAAATTTTTTGATTACTTTTTATTTTTCTATGTCTTATCTTTTATAAATTATATACAGTACTCACAATAATTTAATTTCTATTCAATCAACTTAAATCAAAAAGTGAAACATTACACAACACAATCATTTAACTATGTTTTTAATGAATAAATAAGGAAGAGTGGTAATTTACTGATTCGACAACACTGAAGATGAGCAGAATTGTTCGTCACACATTATCATTTGATAATAATTGATCAGTTTCAGCCAACAACGTTAAGATTCAGGTCTCACTATATATATATATCTCTAATTCATTGTGTAAGTATATCGTAAAAATGTGTTAATTTAATGAATAATATGTATGTAGTACTAATGTATGTAGAGTATTATTGTTTGTAAAATATTAAATTAAGCGAAAATTTACTCAAAAGGGTAGTGTATTATGTAACGAAATATTTTGTCAAATTAAATTCAATATGTAATTACAAGACATAAAACAAGACATTTATTATTGAATCCAACTAGAATAATGCCATAAAGACTCTACAATTACCATTTTAATTAAATTTATTTTATTGATACAAAAGTTAAAGAATTTTAAAAGAAATTCTATAATCTTTATATACATAATTAGTAAATTATTATTACTGTACTCCAATAACAGATAATTCTAAAGTCCAAACTCTTCTAACATGAACTTTTAAATTTATTTTATTTGATCCATTATTTGCTGATTCAATTTGTTTTAAATTTGGTTCATTTATTTCAATATTAATCCATCCATGACTCCACCAACATTTTCTAGCAGGTTTTCTCCAAAATAATAATAATTTAGTTTGATTTTGATCCATTTTGGAATTTCTTTTTGATGATAATGATCTTGATGCAGCTCTTGATGCTGATGAAGCTAATTGTGCTATTCTTGATCTTGATCTTGATCTTGAATTTGAATTTGATCCATTATTACTTGTTGTTGATGTAACTGGTGTTAAATTAGGTGAATCTGGTGGGGTTTGATTTGGAGTTTTTTCTTGATTATGTGTTCTTAATCTTACTAATGATAATGATGATATTACACATTTACCAGGTTCTAATGATCTTGAACCCCATTTATCTTTAATTTCAAAACCGGATGAACATAACATATCAAAAAGATGTTGTTCTGCTGGTCCTAAACCTTTTGAATTATCTTGTTTTGAATTTGCATCTTGTAATTTTTCAACACTACCACCACCAATTTTTTCATTATCTGATTCTTCTTCATTATTATAATATTGTAATTCTTCATCTGTAAATTTATAACCTAATCCTGAGAATATTAATTTATTCTTTAATAAAACTTTACTTACACTTCTTTTTAATTCTTTCATTTGTTCCATATTTAATCCTTCTATTGGTGGTATTACATAAAAATCTAAATCTTCTCGTAACACTATTATAGCAGGTTTAGTTTGTAATATATTTTCTTGTTGATTTCCATGTCTTGAATTTGATATTGTTGGTGATAAATTTAATTGATTTTGAAAAGGTGACATTTCTAAATCCTTTTGAGCTTTTGCAAATGTATTTATAATATATTGAAAACAAGCAGGATCGAAATTTACATAAACAACATCATTTTCTGTTAAATTTGTTATAATTGATCCATTAATATCTAAAAATACACCATTAGGAAACAAACATAATAATATACTTTCTGGTAAACTCATTAATTCATCTCTTGTTATTGTAAAATTTTTACCTCTTACATTTAAATGAATTTGTGAATTATAAGTATCTGATGATTGATCTTCTGATCCATTTTGTACTGCTGTTGAAGTGGTTGATAAATTATTTGAATATGAAGATTCTGGTGAAACTTGAGTTATAATATCTTGTTGTGACATTGTGTTGGATGGGGTTGTTGTTATTATTGAAAAATTCTATTATATTATATTGTATATAAGTATATTATTAATGAATTGAAAATTGAAGTTGTATTAAAGATGAAATTAAAAGTGTAATGAATGAATTAATTAATTGAAGTGTTTAATAAATGAGTGTATTAAAAGTGACCTGCACTGAAATTTTATTAATATATGAAAGTTGTATCTACTTGATTACCCTGAATCGTGTTTATTCAATGAATCAATGAAAAATTTGACCGCTGAATGGTTGTACTGTTGTTTGATATTCTATTAATTTTCTGACTTGTAAATAATGAGCGACAAATTAAGTGAAGGCTGTCAATCCTATTTCTCTATAAACTTCCCAGTATTATTTTAAATATGATGAACAATGACAGCTAATAATGTACTATTGTAATATATTAAACCTATCTATTAGATACTCTTGAGTAATAATTGATTTGAATTGTAAATAATAAAAGCAAATATAATATCTATTTAAGTTAACTAGAAAAAGAAAAAAATTATATTAGATAATATTCTAGTTGTCTTGTGTTAGTAGAAATTTCTCTTGAAAAATATATTGGTAAATATTACACTACTTTTTACAACCAAATTGGTATTTTACAACCAAATATTGACTTGCTAGGTATAACTAAGCTAAAGTCATTTACAACAACTTAAAAGTACTAAACAATTATATTTAATGGATCAATTAACAATATGACACCATCTGAATGCAACAAAGATAACAACAACAACACTTATTTTTGTCCATGTAAAAACCCACTACCTAAAGAGACTACCACAAGTCAAATTCAAGAAATAGATGATATATGGGAATCTGATAATGAAAATGAAAATCAACAGCCCAAAGATAACTTTGTACATAATGATATAATACGACAACATCAAAAACAAGGATATCTTGATGGTATAACTCACAATAAAGAAACAAATTTACAACAAGGATTTGATGATTCATTTAGTTTGGGAGGTCAATTAGGTATTGAAGTTGGTATGATATTAGCTAAAGTTAAAATACTAGATCACAAAAACAGTAATGGGTTACTTAATGAATGTATTAATGATTTGAAGATTTCCAAAATTTTTGATAATAAATATTTCAATGAAAATTTAGAAATGATTAATGATCAACATGAATTGATTTTGAAATGGAAAGATAAGTTGAAAGAATTAGAGAAAATGTGAACTAAATGGTAGTTTTGTTATCATTAATTATATGCTAATTTGAATTCAACTAGAATTATGAATCTATCACCTCGTATTCACGCGATATACAAAATTTAACCTTTACAAAATTTTAGAAATTGATAATATAATATTTAATAATTGAATATGTTCATCAGTACCCAAATTTAATTTTTTATCACAATTAAATAATTCCAAACTAATTTGATTTTTTTGTTCCAGTGATAAATTATCATCTAAAATTAAAAAATCATGTAATTGATCAATTAATTGTTGTACACTCCATCCATTTAATATAATATCATTTATAAAATTAATTAAATCCATAATTTGATTTTTAGAACTTTGCATTTTTTTAATTAATGTTGTAATTAAATTATCTGGTAATATACCAGCTGTTTCTCTAATTGAATTTCTTGTAATTAATCCATCTTCTGAATCAATATTTTCTGTTTGTAAACTTGAACTTAATTTTGAAGCACTTTGTAAAAAGGTTATTGCTTTTCTTAAATCACCATTACTGATTTTTAAAATTTCATTTAATACATCATTTTCATTTTCTCCAAATTTTAAATTTTCTTGTTCACTTATATATTGTAATCTTTTTAAAGAATTTTCATTATTTAATAATTTGAATCTAAATTTTGAACATCTTGAAGCTAATGGATCAATAATTCTTGTTATATAATTACAAACTAATGCAAATCTAGTTATATTTGAATAAGTTTCCATTGTTCTTCTTAAAGCTGATTGTGCATCATTTGTCATTGAATCTGCTTCATCTAATATAATTATTTTATATGGAGGACATGGATAATTTTTTAAATCTTCTTCTGTTGGATTACTAACTGTTAATTTTGCAAAATTTTTAATCTTTTGTCTTACAATTGATATACCTCTTTCATCTGATGCATTTAATTCTAAAACTCTTGATTTATATAAATTTGGTCCATATAATTGTTTAGCTAATGCTAATATTGTTGATGTTTTCCCAGTACCTGGAGGACCATAAAATAACATATGTGGTAAATTATTATTTCCTGAAGTTATTTGCTTTTTTAATATTTTGATTGCATGTTCTTGTGATGATATATCTGTTAAATTTTTTGGTCTATATTTTTCTACCCATGGTGTATGATGTAATTTTTCTTCTTGATATGCTGCTGTTGATGCGTTGTGTGATAGAATGGATGATGATACCATCTTTGAAAACAATGGTTGGTTTGCTATAGTAAGAAGTGATCAAATTGTATCGTTAGCTTGAAACACGTCTTTAATTAAAATAATCTATCATATAGATTTGTTTCAGATAATACGCGAATTGAAAATCTAAAAAAATCAAAGTTAGCTTTGAAAAAAAAAAACATCCTTGTATGCTTTTTAACGCGAGCTTTTGTTAATATCGTTGCAATATCGTTTAAACTTTCATGCGACTGTCGTATCGTCAAAATTAAACTTCTTGTTAAATATTCTCCCCTCTTTAATTCTCAAAGATTAATATGAAATCCATTGATACTACCCCTTATATATATAGTAAATGAACAAAGACTTATAATGAAGAAATTATTAATGACACATTAAGTTATATCAATAGCGGTGGATCAAACACTCATTGTTCATTTTCCTAAGAGGATATTTTAATATTTCTATTGACTATTCTACCACAAATGTATGGACTTCTGACTATTTTTACAATAAATCATATTTTAGATTTGAAAGAGTAAATAGATGTCATTTAGTGATAATGGTAAATTGATTGAAGAAAGGTCACTTGGGATCAGATGAACTAGAACCAAAATGTGATGAAGATTTTGTTAGTGCCGATAATCAGAGAATTGGGTGAAATAATAAGAATCACAAGTCAAGTTTAGATGATTCAGCCAAATCATCAATGGTAAATATGGGACAAACCCGATGAAGAAGTTTTCAAAAGAATCGAAATATTAAACTAGGGTGCAAGAACTTTGGAAAAAACGGAGGAAGTATTAATGAGGAAATGGATCATCAAATGCTAGAAGAATTTGTTGCTTCTTTAAATGCTGATAATCAATCTAAAAATTTTCATTCATTTGTTAAGCCTAATTTGGAAAAAAAAAGTCATTGGTTAATTCATCAATTCCATTAAGAGAACATGAGTTATCAAGTAACATCAACAAAATTTCAATAGTAGGTCCTCAATACTTTTCCAACAACCATGACCACAAGTTGAAATAAATCATTGACTTAATAAATTAGTCTCTACTACAACATCAGAATCAAGTACTCCAAATTTGTCTTTCAAATACAAGCGGTCATAAATCTGGCTTTTCTGAATGTTTTGTTGGAATAGTAAATCAATCACCACAATTATATTCAAATTCATCATTAGCTCCAGTTCCACCTCAACGTGTACCTCAAGGTATGTTTCCCAATGGATTCATGTCACCAATGCCATTACCTCCTCCTTTACTTGATCAATTGGGTCCCCCACCTCCTGGATTTCAACAAGGTCCTCAACCACCTGGAATGTCAAATAATGGATCAGCACCACCTCAACATCATCAACAAAATATTCCACCTCAATTTTTAAATAATCCTAATGCTAGATNACCACCTGGAATGTCAAATAATGGATCAGCACCACCTCAACATCATCAACAAAATATTCCACCTCAATTTTTAAATAATCCTAATGCTAGATTTATTCCACCTCAATACTTACAAATGAGAGGGTTAGGTAATCAACAACAACCACCACCAATGCCCTCTCAACATCATCAACAACATCAGCAAGGTAATCCAAATATAAATCAAGAATCTAGATAAAATAGAATATATTTTGGGTCAGAGAATAAAGTTTTAATTTTGGGTTGATGAAGTTTTTAATGAATTAAATAATATTTATTAATATATAAATCTAGTAATATATAATATTATCATTAGTTACCAAATTTTCAAACATGAATTTCTATAAACTTCAAAGTTACGCTCATCTTTATCGCACCACCTTACTAATCAAATTAGCTATAAGACCAACTCAATTTACTTCCTGACCAAATCAATTGACTATTCAGTTCCAATACTCACTAAAATTTTTATCTACTATGAAAATCACTCATATAAAAAAAATCCATTTTTGTGCCTCACACTACTATCGATTATATTTTATTTAATATTTAATATTATGGTTGCAAAACATATCAAAATTCCCACTTTTTATATCCAACTTATTTCAACTTCAATTTAAATTCTTCAACACAAACGAATTTAAATTACTTTTATCAATTAATTAAATCAATAATTCAATTAATTAATCACCAAAGTTTTCAATCAATCAATTTAAAGCAAATCTTTCAATTAATCATATATTAATTAATCACCTTAACTTTTTTAAAATGTCTAACAATATGGAATATCAATTAGCGCAATTACCAAAACCATTCACCACATTAGAAAATGTTAAAAAACAATTAATTCAAGGATCAGTTCAAGCAACATTAGCTCAACAAAAACCATTATTTACAAACCCAATTCATCAAAATTTAACTTCAAGTTTTGATTCTGTAGAAACATTAAAAAGCTTTTGTACTTTTAATTACCCATCACCAGAACTTCCATCAGTTAAATTCCCATATAATATACCATCATCAGAAACTTTAACTGAATCAAAAGATCCTCAACATAAATTTATCAAAGTCGGAGAATATAATGATATTTTTGATCAAGATTTATATCATAAATTAGAAGATATTGAAGTTAGTTCTACTCAAGTTTTAGCAAAAGTAGAAACACAAGAAGATTATAACAATGAAGAAATTGTTTTACCTACCACTAATTTAGTTAACGAAGAATTAGTATCAACTGATGACAAAATTAATGCTGGTTGTGGTAAAGAAATTGTAAACTCAGACAATGCAGTTATTAAATCAGAAAAGGATCAACAAAATAAAGAAATTTCCAAAAAAGTCAAATTTTCAAAATTAAAGAAGCTTTTCAAAAAATGTCATAGGGATCATAGAACATCTACTTCAAAAAACAACAATGTTTCTGCTGATGCTAAAAGTAAAAAATCCGACCAAGTCAAAAAACCTAGAAGATTTTTTGGTATTTTATTTAAAAAGAACAATTCAAAAGTTGTTCAAGATCATTCAGAACTTGCAGGTCTTAAAAGTATGAAATTAGTTGAAAAGAAAACTAATGCAACTAAAGGCTTTACAGGTAAAAGATTCAAATTTGGTGTTGCTAAACATGCATCAAAATATAAATATGGATTAAGAAAGCTGAACTTAGTTGATAAAAATACTAAAACAAATAAAGGATTTATTCATAAAAAATTCAAATTTCATGCTCGTAAAGGTAAACCAGAATTTCAAGAAGGATTAAAAAAGTTGAACCTTGTGGAAAAGAAATTAAACAAAGACTTACAAGACAAGAAAGCTTTTGAGTCATTTAAGTTATTTAAGAGATTTTTCAAATCCAATAAAACCAAGTCCAAAATTTCAAGTTCATTAAAAGAAAATAATAATGGACCTAATAAAGATGAATTAAAGGATTATTCTTTACCACCTCCATCTTCAACTATAGGAAATATATTTACAACATCAGATTACAATTCTTCATCCTTACAACCTCATCTTGAAAAAACCACCAGTATAATTGCAGATGATGAATATTTATACTCATGTCCTCGTCGTTATACAACCGAAAGTACAACAGCAGATAACAATAAATTACCCTCACATTCTGGAATTGAAAAGACCAAAATTATAAATGCAGATAGTAAAGATTTTTCCTCATATCCTCGTATCTACAAAACTAGGAGTTCAACAGCAGATATGAATAAATCATCTTCATATTCTGGTATTGAAAAAACCAAAACTACAACAACTGATAATAAAAAAATAGTTTCTGAAGATGAATCAGAATTCAAGGGTCTTAGAAAATTGAAATTAGTCGAAAAAAAATTAAATGCAAGCGGAGGTTTAATTAGTGAAAATACTGGTGAAAATGTAGGTTTAAAAATCAAATCTGATATTTCAAAAGATGATTTAGAATTTCAAAAAGGATTAAGACCATTAAAACTTTGTAAAAAACGATTGCATAATGATTCACAAACTGCAGAAGATGTTAACCATAACAAGTCCATAAGTTCAGCAATAGAAGGAAATACTAGTGAACTTAAAAAAGATGAAGCAAAAAGTAATGAAATACCACCAACACCATCATCTACTAAACAAAATGAAAATGTAATTACAGATATCAAAAATTCATTCAATCATTCTGATATTGAAGAAACTAAAAATATAACTGCAGAAGTCAATGAATTATCATCTTATTCTGGTATTGCAAAAAACAAAAGTACAATAGTTGACAAAAATTCATCATCATCTTGCACTAATGAAAAATTGCAAAATTGTATAAGAGGGACTCAATCTTTTTTTGAACCTGAACGTCCGCACCGCATAAATACAATAATTTACAAAAGAGCATCATCAACTGAAAAATTACATCATTGTACAAAAAGGACTCATTATTATTTCAAACCTGAATATGTGTTATATTGGATGAGTGATGGAGGAGTTTACTATTACAAAAAACCACGTTATGGCAGTGACAGGAATTATGAACGTATACTTTACAAGAGAGATGAAATCCCAGAGGGATATACAAATTGCAAAATAACTATAAATAATTATCAATAGTATATTAAGTCACATAATAGAAAATTTAAAAAAAAAAAAAAAAAAAAAAAAAAAAAAAAAAAA